AAAAAAAAAAAAAAAAAAATTTGTTTTGTGAAAAGATATATATATATATATATAACATTTGCTCGTATTGGATAACATATCCCAAACTATGATAATATAAATACTGAAGTTTTGAGCTTTCATAATATAAGCTAGTTCAATGATATTGTTATCAAATATAATTTTATATGTACTGTGTACAAAAGAAAGCTTTAAGTGTCTCAATTTACACGAGGAATAAGAAATATCTTCTTTGAGAATTTTATTTAACCTATTGAAAAAATTGCTTTTAAGATTTTTTTTTCCCTGCAACTCAAATATCTTTAATAGAATTTTGTACTGGAAAACACCTTTACAGTTAATATTTTGTTTTGGTGTATTGAAAGCAGCCCTTTTCCTTAATGTGTCCATCAGGTCCAGAACATATAACTTATAGAAATGTTTAACAAGTGATATGCCATCTTGTGTTGTTAGAAATGAATCTAAAAGAATGAAAACTGAAAATAGGGTGGGATGGTTTTAGTTAAGGGTTGAAATTAACAAAATATAATTTAATAAATATAACAAGCTTTCAGGCTTACCTCATTAAAATGGATTGTCAGATTTACTTTATTAAATTAGTTAAGAAGCTTTCCACACTAAACTGGTTCTCAAGTTTATTAAACTAAATCCATTTTATTACAATTGATTATGAAGATTATTACAGTTAAATGATTTTTAGAATGTACTACAATAAACTGATTATCATGTTCATCACATTAAATAATTTGTTAAGTTTTCTAACCTAAGCTAGTTGTCAGAATTACTGCACTAACCTGCCTTTCAGTTTTGTGACATTAAATTGATTGTCAAGTTTACTGCTTAAAATAAAATGTCAGATTTTCTGCACACGAGTATTTAGCAGGTTTACTATAGTAAATGGTTTATTGCACTCACTATACTATACTATAGTTTACTATATTAACTTATCAAGTTTACTACACTAAGCTGGCTACCAAGATAACCACACTAAATGTTTTACCAAGTTTAGTACACTATCTTTGTTGCCAAGTAAACTACACTAAACATTTTGTCAGGTTTACAATATCAAATGTTTTGTCAGGTTTACTATGCTAAACTGATAATCATGTTTACCATGTAATTTGTTTTTCAGGTTTTCACATTAATAAACTGGACTTAGATATATTCATAGAAGAATAATTTGGCCGAATTGAGTCTAAAATCTTGTTCTGCTTACAACAGGATACATCCTATTCTGTTTTGTTCGGTTGGTCCATCCTGCTGTTTTTATTGCTGTCTGACAATTATTTCTGTTGCTTGAATGTGAAGGAAATTACAGCAATACCATGTTATCCAAACTAATGTCATTTTAATATCATAACTGAATCTTTAGGCTTGAAAATTATAATGAAATGTGTGTATGTATTTGTAATATACATCCATTCACCGCTGTACCTGACATGAGCATATTGTAATACAGTTACAATGTTTCACAACAGTTTTTATTATGCTCTACTTTCTAGTTAAAAATGTGTTTCACCAGAGTATCAGCACTCTTAATAAGGGCTTGTTATAAACTATGACTTTGATGCATTATTTTCTGAAATTTGTTGTAGGATTAAGCATACAGAAACAGTTTAATAGCTAACGACATGCATACAATCCAAGTATTATATACAAAAGAATGATGGTAAAATTACAATAATTAATATTATTATTATCATAATAGGCTATTCTAAAGCTGAGAGTGAAGATAGGATATTGTAATGTATAAATAGCTTCCAGTTGAATACTAATTTAATAAACAAAGAGAGGATTTGACATTGTTCATTTTCACATCTTTAATGTTTTCCTATACTTTTAACTTTATTAATATTCATTTAATGAAGAAGCAGAGGGTTTGACATTGTACATTTCACTTCCTTAATACTTTTTGTAGGAATAACTTCCTTGGTATTTATTAAATGAACAATGAAAATGTTTGGCATTATTCAGCTTCCATCTTTAATTCTTTAATGCTGCCACCAAGATCATGATATTTGGTTGACAGCTTAATTTTATATTTTTAGAAAAGGGATATTACTTATAAGAGCTTGTTTAATTAACCCGTACATCAAGAAAATGTACTGTGGGAGATTTTATGGATAAAAAAATATTTAAGAACTGTAATTAGTTGTGCAGTATGTACATGTTCTAAATCTAAAACTGAACTGAAAAATTGTTATAAAATCTTTCTTTGTGATAATAAGATTTGATCTTATTCTCAATATTGTTTTCTAACTCACACGAACTTTCTATTTTACTCAAGCAAGTTGAATAGATTCTTATATATATCTTCTTAAAATATACTTTTTTTCTTGATACATAGGAACACAGTCACAAGTCGTACAGACCGTTGTGTGTTCTAACATTTAGGCTTAACTACATGTTAAGTGAACTAGAACCCATGAGTTACCACTTATTGAACATTATTCTTCACGTTGTTGTCTGTCTACTGTTTCTTGGGTAAGTTAATGTTATGTTTAGTTTGAAATAAGACAGTTCAATCATTTATGAACACTACATTTTCTTGTATGGTAATTAACAGCTACAAGTTACAGAAAGAACTTGCTAACATAACATAATGTTTAGGGACAACAAGGGATGTGTTGGTCCATCTAGTCTGTCCAATCCTCTAAACTAAAACTATTAAAAAAAAAAACTCAAAGCCAGCCCTTATGTTTCATATAGTTATCAAGCTTTCTCTTAAAGTCGCTCACATTTATTGCCTCCACAACATCTGAAGGCAACCCATTCCAAAGGCCAACCACCCTGTTAAAAATAATAAAACTGTCTTATCTGAAGATGACTTCTACCCTGACAAAATTTATATTTGTGTCCCCTAGTCCTACTGTTCTCACTCTTAAGTATGAAAAAAGATGAAGCATCAACACTATCAATTCCCTTAACAATCTTAAACACCTCAATCTGGTCCCCTCTAACTCTTCTTTTTTCAAAAGAAAACAATATCCTAGATCTTAACCTTTCCTTGTATGATAACCCCTCCAACCCAGGCCATTTTTGTAGCCCTCCTCTGAACCCTTTCAAACAATTCCATGTCCTTCTACAGTAAGGAGTCCTAGACTAAACAAATACTCCAAGTGTGGCCTAACCAGTGACCTATACAATGAAATTATAACCTCTTTAGACTTGTATTCAATATTTCTGTAGATAAAACCTAAAATTATATTTGCCTTACCACTAACAACAGCACACTGATTAGATGGCTTAAGAGACTGATCAACCACTGTACCAATATCCCTTTCTTTCATAACATTCCCATCCAAATTATACTTATAACTCAAATTATGATAACCCATGTTATCTTGCATTTATTATAATAAAATCCCATGTGACATTTATTCACCCAACTCACTAAATGATCTAAATCTTTGTTATAGCAGCAACATCCAAGACCTTAATATTGTTACGTCTCCGTTTGTTAATTAACTCTCCGTAACTTCGTTCCGACGAAACTTTAGGGACACAAGTCCTTACTTAATAAAACTGATTTATTCTTTCTGAATATAACTTTACAATACACTTGATTCCAACATTCGCGCTAAAACAAACGCTATAACGAACTTCAACAATACGTCTCTGACTGCAAATCAATTACTCATTACCTACACACACATTGTCCCGTCACGTTGTCACCCTCTTATATATATACCAGACTACCCTATATCTAGTAATCTCCCGACAATTCACGAAGGTACAAGATATTTCCAGAAAGCAGGGGGCGTGACACTAGTCACATGACCTCGCTGACTCAACAATATCCTCAGCATGTAGTACAACTAAATATAAGCTTCAAAAAGATGTACTACAGCCTTTTTTATTATAAATTGCATGATCATAATTGTGTTTATCACCCTTTTTTTACATTGAAATAAATGTACATACATGTAGATTTTTGTTTCATATATTTATAGTCTAAATTTCTACTAGTCAGAAAACTGTATCTTTACTGCACTATCCATAAAATTCGTTGAATGAAAGAAAATTGAAATACATGTATACAATCATGCTAATAAATTTAGTGAGATTTTTTTTCGTTATTGTAAAAATTGCATATTATTGTCATCTAAAACCTGTGTAAATTTGTATTGTATATTACTTAAAAAGTGAAATATTTATAATATAAATCTTCTTGGATAATGAATATGCTGTACAAGTAAAGTTTGTTTGTGTATGAAATATCACTCTGTATATAAATAAATACATTGGCCACTAGAAATGGTGTGATTGCAATACCTAAGTATAAAAACTAAATTTGATACATGTACATTTGATTGGACATTTCTTATTTCTATTGTTTTGTTTGTAAATCTCTGCAAATAACATTTAAATATGCAATTTTAAAGATACTTCTTACATTGAAAAATAGTTTTTTATTTCATAATTTAGATTTCTGTAAAAATAGTGAAGAACTCCTCATCAAATAATTTCTAAAAATTCTGTCTTCTATGTGTTTCCATTTCTTCAGCTTTACTGTGCTAACTGTAATACTGTCATTGTGTTTAAACTGTTTCTTTACTGACTGGTTAGAGTAAGAATGTTTGACTTAAAGCTTGTAACAGCTGATGTAATGTTTAAGTATAAAAAAGAAGTAACTCACATTGATGAAAGTATCAAATATTTGGAAAATAAGTAAAAAAAGTTGAAATAAATGATAATCATGTAAAGACTACAAAAAAAATTATTGTTAGCTTAAACTTCAGATTATGCTACACTGATTGAAAGAAAATTATGGAAGAAGATAAAATAACTTAGACTTTATTTCCTGTGTTAAAATATGTCAAGATAGGTTCAATTAAAAAGAAACTTTTCAGAGTCAGAATCTTAGTGTCTTACTACAAAACTCTGTAAAGCATATGGAGGTCACTGCAATCTATTCTGGGAAAAATGTAGAAAGTTTTCGAGTTTAATTGGTCAACTTATTCTTTCATCATGTATATGTGGATGTTTTGTAGGGTTACACAGCTTTTCTTACCAGAGTGTGCTTGTTTTGTTGCTGCAATCCTTTTTGCCATTCATCCTGTCCACACTGAAGCAGTAAGTTTACAGATATACATAGCCTGATGAAGTTGTATTATATATAGTTCCTAGTAAATGAAACACTTAAACTCTTTAAATTAACATACAGTTATTAACAATATTCCTTAAGTTATTTGTAAAATTAGGATAAACATGCACAAGAACTTTGAATAAATTATAACTTTTATTATATATTTTTGTTTACTTCTATTTAGAAATTTATGAAATGACATTATAATGAATTTTGACAATAGAAGTGATTGTTTGGTTAAGGTTAATAAAACAAAATGTGACATAGTACTTTTTTAAGGAAATTTCTTTGGTTAATTGAAAGACTATATAAACTATGCATTTTTCATCTGTATCTGTTTAAACATCAATAGATAGCTTTCTGTTGTTTCTAAAGGTGACAGGAGTGGTAGGAAGAGCTGAGATTCTGTCTTCAGTGTTGTTTCTTCTTGCTTTTTCCTCCTATTCTAAAGCCACAAGAAGGCCACACCATACAGGTATACCTTAGGTGGTAGCACTACATTACTTAAACAATATAGTTGAAACAGATTAAAAGATGCAAGCATAAAATAACATAATTGAAACATTTGTTACTAATTTTTTTATCTTGTATTGTTATGGATGGGATCTTAATATAAAAAAAGCTACATGGTAAAGAATCGATCCAGAAATATTACATATGTTAAACTACTCATTGTGGTATTAAACAACCACCCAGATGTCTTAACTCATATCTACTGTTTCACTAAATTTCAAGTGCTTTAGTTATATGTAGCTAAAATATATTATGTGATTTAAAGCAGTTACTGGTGTAAAAAATGGATTTTTGGAACATTTTTAAAATATTATGTATGAATGCACATTAATTTGAGAAATTCTGAAAAACTTCAAGTTGAATTATGATTTTATGAACAGTACTTTCAAAAGTGAAAGATTGTGGGTTGGTACTGTATAATCTGTTATGAAGAAGTTTATACTATATATCCACGTGTGTTTATATATATATTATCTAAAGTTTCAAAAGCTTACCTAATCACTTATTTGCTTAACTACATGTTTCAGTGTTACTTAAGCCACTGAAGACTACTTTTGAAAACTAATGCAATTGCAATATATTGATTTTTTTTTCTATTTTCTCTCTTTGGTTCATAAAATCTATAAATTTTGTGTTTGTAGTTTTGTAATGGCACACTGTGAATGTATGAAAACACTTTTTTTGGTTGTGGTATTTCTGTTATCTTCATGGCAACTCTTTAAGTTTTTGTTTTGCTAGTGTTTGAATGTTACAATTTATCAGGCCATAATACTCCACATGTAAGTACAAATTACTTTGATGTATATATATATATATATGGCTCTACAAGTGTCAAAATTCTCTTTCCTACTTACAGACTGGTTGCCACTACTCCACTGTGTAATATTTGTAACAGCAGCCACACTTTGTAAAGAACAAGGAATCACAGTTGTGGGACTCTGCTGCATATATGAAGTGTTTGTTGTACAGAAGGTGAGATACTATGTAGAATTACCTGTTAGAGCAATTAACTGTACTGAAAGCTTTGTTGTTATTTTTTTACTTTAAAGACCAAAGAATTTCTTGTTTTACATTCTTCAAATATACTTACAATAATTTTTAAGAAATAAAAAAATAACTTTTTTTACTAAAAATTAGTATTTACATTTCAAGGTTTATGTTGCTTACTTGATAAACACATTTTTGAGTAACCATACAACTAATATGGGAATAATACATAGAATTTTCCTTTTCGATAACAAGTATTTTTCTTTTTAACTGTAAGTCTAAATATTCAAACAAATCCTAAATTGTATTAACCAGATCCTTTACCATTCTGTATCTTGGCAAGCTTTTCACACACTGAATACTACTTCTCAAGGTTTTTTTCTGAATTTTTCCAAACATCTCTAACTGCTTTGTTATTTGAATAATCTCTATAAGCCTGAAGAATCACAATGGTATGCTAATTGTTTGTTTATCTATTTTTATAATTTTTGAAGTACTGTAAACCAATTTACCAAGCTGAAAATTTAGTAATTAGCTCCCTATACTTTTTTTCACAAAATATCAAAATAAATATGTGCTTAAATTATCACAGATACAATACCTGCATAGAAATTAGGCAAACTATTACAATATTATTGTTATTTGGTTACTTTAATAATTAGAAACAGAATTTGAGAAAAAGTCTCAAAGCCATTTAAAGGGCTTTACTATGAATATCATTTTATAATTCTCTGAAACTTGTTCTTGAAGTTATCTTGAGTAATTTTCATTCCTTATTTTATGTTATAAGAAAGATAACACTAACTTTTTTTTTTCAGATATGGAGCTAATAAAATTGTATTTCATGAATCTTTAATCATTATACTTTTGTTGAAATAAAAATAATGATAAAATACTTCTTGTTTAACAGTGATAACAGATATAAAGAAAAATATTGAAAAGTTGTAATAATCTAATGAAAATTAATGAATATGTGACAAGGCACCCCAGGGGAAGCCAGTTATCTTGAAACTAAACCAAAGTATATACTCATTATGTAATTTATCACTGTTTGTTGGTATAAGACCAGTTTTTGTGTTGGGTGTGTACATTGTAAAACCTGCATGCATGAAATGCTATTTCACTGATTTCCAGGGACTATTCTTTATTAGTGAAAAAGAAAATTTTCTGAGATAGCAATGGAGATTGGTCCACTCTAGCTTGTAAAACAGTAATCAGTTTGAGATCCACGACTGTTTACAGTTCTTTGTTTTTAGATAAAACTTTATAAAGTTATATACAGATGTTATAAAAATAAAGCAGATGATCAGTGTTAATTGTGTTAATGATAATTTATTATAACTTGTTTAAATTGTACTTTAACATAAAATTTGCCATATACATTATTGTGACTGCAGTATTTATTAAGACATTTATACACATTATACTATTGAAAATACTTGCATTTATCTTATTGATAATGTCAACTGAGTATCATTCTGAATAATTTTACTGAGCTATGAACAGATTGTGAACATCAAATGCATTGTTACCAATTTATGCCGGCTAGTCCTGTATAAGTTGCACTTCATATGCCACTATAATGATGCACTATTGAACAGATATCACATTAATGATTCATTAACTTGCATGTATGTTTAAAAACCTTGAGGGAAATCAACACTCTTAATCAATCTACATGTATAATAGTACCAGTTCTAATATTGGATATGCTGATAAATGTCATGTTTTGCACTCAGTTGTAGTCAATCCCAAGTATACATTTAATGTTTTGATAAGCTCCTAAATAAGCATTTTTTGTACAGGATTTTTTATTTGTTTCTCCATTTTATTTTGGTTTTCTTTAAATATTTAAACATGCTGAACTAGTTATACGCTTGTGCCATCAAACCTAAAAATTTGAGATATCTTTTTAAGAATAGCATCTTTTATCAGAGGCAAAAAATGTGGAAGTAGAAGTGCATGAAAGAACCACAACAGTACACTGGCATTTTTCTGATCTTCTGTTAAAATGAAAAAAAAAAGCCTCACTGTCATTGAATACTAAACTTTCTGAAATTTTAACAGACCAACTTTCCACTAATACTTGTAACTATAGGTTAAAGAAGTATTTATTAATCAGTTTTGTGGAATAGAAGCCAATAAGTGCTTTTAATAATATTAATTCAGATGTTGTTTTTTTGTACTTTTCTTCCATACATCTTCCTTGAACTCTTCTTAGTTTCACTACAGTTACAGATTTTTTTTTGCACGTCTTAATTTTGCTCACATGTCATGCAAAAAAATATACTCTTCATATCTTTAGTTAGTTTGTGTTACGGTCTTAATTTCATATTTTTGTTTTTAGATAAATACATTGATAAACTCTTTTACACATTTTCATGTTTACCCTCTTTTGTTTCTGATGAAATTACTTGGCACTTTGAGACTTTTTAGATTACTGTAGTTTCTTTTGTTGATTCATGGTGATAGTTATTGAAATTGCTTATTGCTTATTGAAATTACCAAGTCCTGAAGCAGAATTGTCACATGTAAACCTTCTTGTAGCATGGCTATCACATCTGGCCAGTGTAGTTATTACTATTCAAGAAAGGGCTACATGCTAAAAATTGGGTTTTGATATCTGTTGTGGCCAGATTGTAGAAAGCCCATAGTGCATACTATAAATAACTAAAGTATGTATTGAGTTACTTAAATTTAATTACTAAATTACAGAAACACATACAAATTTGCATCTTATTTATTATGTGACAAGTTCTGGCTAGATTTCCATAGAACAACGGCACACATGTGTGAATATATGACTGCTAGTCTGGTTTAGTTCTACTCATCAGAATCTATCATAGAGTTTGAGGGTAACCTTACTAAAGAAAGTCTGCCCAAAGGGGGGCTTATAAAGGGAACAAACCAAAGGTGACAAGTTCTTGAAAGCAGAAGGATAATTTTTAAAATAAGTTAGCATACAAGTTGAAGAAAGAGATAACAGTTGTAGTTTTAATTCTCTTTAGTGTGATAAATGCATGGACTTGCATGGGAGTATCTGAGGCTAGTATAAAGAAAGTTATCTATATTCTTTAGCAACTGTGGAAACAGTTGAATCAGCATAACTTATGTTGAAGTTGAATAAAATGATAAATTTGAAAGGTGGAATGCTTAGGTTTTCATTAGATTATGTAAGACATGGATAAAGAAAGTTATGCATAATCCATAGCTATTATGTTATTGTATATAAACTATGTTTTAATATAATTTTTTTTAATTTTATACCACATCAGCTTAGACTTTCAGATCTTCTTTACATTGGTCAGAACTTAGTGGCTTCCAAAGCTCAACCTCCTCCTTGGCTCAGAGAAATGGTGCTGCGACTGACAGTTTTAATTCTTTGTGCCCTTGGTCTCTTGATTGGGAGATTTCAAGTAATGGGTGCCCAGCTACCAGTTTTTACCAGGTATATGCTTTTTCAAAGTAATGTTTTATTATATATTGTTATGTCTCTGTTCGTTCGTTAATTTTCAGTAAAAATTCTTTCCAAAGAAACTTTACCGATAGAAGTCCTTTCTTAAATAAAACTGGTTTATTCTTTCTGAATATAACTTTGCAATACACTTAATTTCAACAGTCGTGCT